GAAAAAGCAGAAAGCGACCCATTCACGAACAAAGAGTCGTTCTGACAACCGGTAGCCATAAAATGTTAAGGATTGGGGCAAAATTTAAAAATTATTGTTTATATTGAAACATCATTTAAATCTAATTTAATATTTTTCATCATATGTTCTTAATTAATACTTATAAGTGATTATAATTCTTTATAGTCTTATAGTAAATTAAGTTTTTTAAAAATACTACTCATCAAGGATATATATATATGATATTTGATTTCCATTGAAATCCACGAATTTATTTTTTTTATTCATTGGTTGCAGAGGCTGCCATTCGATCACTTTTATTAGTTGGTTATTTGAGATGGATGGATGGTGGTAGGATTCAAATCGAAGGAAAAAAAAAAAAATTGAACATTTCATGGAGGTGGTAGTGAATTTTATCTAAATTATTGGTAAATGCACTGCAAATGCGTTCTCTAACGTATATACATGTTACTAAGCCACTGAGAAATTTGTCTCCAAAATCCTAACAGAATAAAAGAGCTTCATTTCTGATTTGTGCCCTTATTTTTATTGAAATGATAACTCTGTACACCCAAATTACTTTAGGAAAGATTCACTAGCTGACTTTAGGATAGATTCGCTATGACAAGCTTAAGAGGAACTTGTCAATCGGTTTCAAGTTAGACTCACATGCTAGCAATGAGGTGGAATCACCTGTCGCATTGAAGGAAAACTCGACCAACAGACTCGTAGAGAACTAGTCCGACTTAGAAGGAACTCCCCAGGTGGATCAAACTCAACCATATTTACTCAAGCCCATTAGCTAGTCAACAACATCCACTAAAAAAACTCATAACTTCTAGCTGAGTATCAATTCAAGCTCTTAGACTCTGCGGCTCTTGTATTTTATAGTAAGTAATCGATCAACATCATTTCGTTCTTATTTATATTTGTTGCATATTTTTTAGCATTTCATATAGTGCAAAACTTTGATCTCTACCTTTAAATAAAGGTTTTCACGGAGATCTAGGGCTGCACAATCTTACACAATCATGACTTCAAAGTCTAGACCTAAAATATATGTACCATTGACTCTCCTTGTACTTTCTTCTCCTCTTTGCTCTTCCCTCTTTTTCTTTGTGCTAAGTAATGTTCTTGTGTAATTTACAGACAAAATAATTATGATTTAGTGTTTTTAAAGGTGCGTTGAGCGTGTATTCATGCCATGAACTAGGGGAGATGCATAGAGATGCATAAATATTTATAGAAGGAGCGTCCTTGAGAACTAGCTAGAGAAGCACCTAGGAGAGAATCATTAAAAATGGAGAATCAAGAGTTCGTGACAACCGAAAAAGTAACTAAGATGAAAGCAAGACTTAGTTGAATGATAAAGGAGATTTTGGAGCAAATCCCAACAACTACTCCCAGGGTGTTGTTACTTGAGAAACTTTGTTATGAGAGGTGGATGGATGGTGGTAGTTGTAGGAGCATGGCGAGCCACTGAGGAACTTTGTGATGACTTTCCAGAGATGCTCTGATTTAGGGTCTTTGAAAAGCCCATTTTTTAGCATGGTCTACAACAATTGTAATTCTTAGCTGACTTGCTCAAAATCATTAATAGTCTTACAAATGTAGAAGAATACAACAATGAGTGGAAGCATTGAATTCAAGTTTGCCATGTAACCTTGATTGGGTAGAAAAATTTTGGGCAATATTCTAACGATCTGTGGGGCCACCAAAGATTTTTTGAGATTGATAGAAACTATTCGCTCTCATCCGTAGTAGCGGCTATATCGCTCTCCTGACTTAAGCACCAACTGAGATGAGTTTATACTGAATGGTAGATCAAAGGAAAGAAGGAGAAATCGTTGTTACCACCATGACACAACAAACTCGCAACAAACTCTACCATAATTCGATTACAAGAATTAAATGCTGTGTTTGTTGAGATCAGTTAGAATAAAAGAAGTATTTTAGGTGCTGAGCATCTATGAGGTAGGCCCTCATTTGATGGATATCACATGTGTGCTTTCTATTGTGACTATGGACATGATATTTAGAGATGTTGACATCACTTGATCTCATGGAAAAATTCATTAAAGCTAAAAATATGAAAGGTTTTATTTTTGATTGATCCAGGTAGATGGTCTGAAAAGGAGCCAATGCAAGGGTTTAGAAATGAACAGATCCTAACTCGTGCTATTCATATTGCTAACCCATCATATTGGGCGAATCTGAAGAAGTCTCTTATCGAGCTAGCCTCAAGTTAGTTAGGTTGGGAGAGAGAAACTGGATCATGCCTTGCCAGTACCAATTTCTATAGTCCTTGTAACTTACTTTGAATGAGAATTCTTATAATGATGCTATCATGGTGCGAACTACCAAAATAACAACATGCTTATAGGAATATGGAGCTTATTCAATATAATATTTAACAATGTATTTTAGAAGATGAACATTAACAAATATTGCCTATTAAAAATATCGGTTATCTATATATTTTCTTAGAGAAAAGTGTGAAACTGAATGAATCATTACTTTGCTAGTGATGTGGGGAAACTAGTGATGTGGGGAAAAGTAATCAATAATACATAGTAATGTCCTCTTCATTGTAGTTCACATTTTGACATTCTACAACATTATAATCGATTGATGCTTATTAAACTTCTTTCACATGGCATCTTAATGTGTCACGTCATTTTGAAGTTCCATACAGGAGGTCATGTAGTGATGATAACAAGCGATTTACTTTAATTAAGAACTTGCTGTCTCAAAATCATGAGTAATATTTTGGAAGAAGTTCTAAACTTGGAGATTCAAGCATGTTTAGGTTTAGAGTCCTTGTAAGAAATTGAAGAAATACCTATTGTTGAGGACCAATGTCACACTTTCCTAATTAATTAATCTTTCAATAGTGAGTGTGAAACCGAATTAATTGCTACTTTGAGGGAGAACATAAAGGTATTCTTTTGGTCGGTAGTTGACATGCAGAGCAGAAATGTTAATCGGTTGCAATAAATTGAATTTAGACAAGAAAATGAAACTGATTAAGCAGAACATAGGATGGGTTATTGCTACACTTGCCGAGCACATTAGTCATGAGGTGTTGTGAAGTGCAACAATTTTTCAGAAGCTTAATTCATCTAGAAAGTTTAGTATTCAGATTGGACTTCCAATATTGTTATGATGTGAAAATCAAATGACAAGTGGAAGTTTGTCAATTTTGTTGATCTGAATTCAACCTACCCTATGAATATATATTTGTTGCTAAGGATTGATGCATTAATCGACCATCATGATTTTTTTATGCATTTTTAGGATATAATTAGATCAAGATGTATCCGAATGATTAAATAAAAATTGCTTTCATCACTAAAGATAGACTGTACTACTATAATGTGATGACCTTTGACCTAAAGAATATAAGGGGCAACTTAAATCTTTTGATGTGCATTTGGAAGAGTTACTAGTGAACAGTAAAAGCATCGAGCAAAACATAATCAACTCGAAAGAGATTTTGTTTATTTTAAAGAAGTTTAATATGCGATCTAATCCTTTAAATTGCACTTTTGAGCTAGACTAGAGAAATTTCTTTTTTTTTCTTTTTGCTCACACCAGTTGGAATAAAATGAACTTTGATAAAATGTAAGCGATCCTGAAGTTACAATCTCTTAAAGAATATTAAAGAGCTGCATAAATTAAATGGTCAAATTGTTGGGTTAAGTTGATTTATGTCGAAGTTGGATGAGAAGTTTTTGCTATTTTTCAAAACGGAGAAGTGCCAAATGCTTTCTCGGAACAAAGACTGCGAGATTGCCTTTCAAGTATTGAAGCCATTATTATCATTTTCACCTCTACCAGGTAATTGAAGATTTGCTACTCTATTTGGAAGTCAAGCTAAATAAGCTCCAAATCGCTTACATGCCTAGAGTGATTGTCAACGCACAATCATTTGTTTACTTCAGCTTTGTAGCCATATAGGAAGTGGTAATTGCACAAGCTTTGTACATTGGAGTTTACATACTCTTTGAACTCTTTATTGGGTTGCTTCTTCAAAGTCTTCCTTTTTTCTTGGATCCCTCTTCCAAGAAACACGCTACGTTGGGGTCTCCAGATATCAATAACATGTTAAGAGTTAAGACCAATTGAAAGAAAAATAACTAAGTTAAACTAAGTCTAGATAAATAAAAAAAAAATAGAACAAGCAGCAAGTTGAGTTAGCAATACTCACGAAAGAGATGCTTCTTGACGATTTTAGGGTCTAATTAAGAATGGCTGTTGAACCCTTTCTTCTTCTTTTGTAGAAAAATTGTGTACTTGTTCTTTTTAAGATTAGGCAGGCGAGTATGAGTTTTCGCTCAAGAATAAAATGGGCTTAGTCTTGATCGGCCACTGTTGTAAGCATTTTATGAAACAATACTTCTCTTTTAATTCTTTATTTTACTATCCAAATTGAACATCTTAATGTGATTGAGTTAGAAAAGAACGTCCTTGAAACCCTTGATCATGAACATGCCCAAAAAAAAGGTAATGTTCTACTCGATCTTTTCAAATATATGGATAATGTGGGAGATGATCATGAATAAGTTCGACAATAGTGGAGCTGGGATGACTTCGTAAAAACTATAGTTGTCAACCAACTCCCGTCACTAAGAGAAATGAAGGATGATTTTGAATTGGTCCATGTAGCAGTATATCTCATTACAGAACAAACTATTTGGGTAATTGCTCCCCTTTGGTGAG